TTTAAGAAAGTAATTAGCTAAGGTCAGCCCAGCAGTGAATATTGGAATTGAAGGCTGATACCTCACTGTATGTGAATTTGAAATTTAAAAAAAACAGAGTAAACATAGTGGCTGTGTTCCCTCTCTCTTGCTCACTAAGGCCAAGGGTTCTGCCTCGTTTGCCCTTATCTCTCAAGTCACTTTTTTGGTAATGACCTAGCCAGAATGACATCCTTTTATGTGCATTGTCTTTTTGTAAAACCAATGAAAAGGCATATGGATGTTTAAAGGTCCAGACTGTATACAGTTAGACAATTACAGACAATAATGCTGTTACTAGGAGAAGTTTTATTCAAGGCCTCCGCTCTGGATACATCTGTTGATCCACCCAAGTGTAGCTCACTCATTCTTTATCCACATAGTCATTTATCCATCAGCAGTCACTGGGTGTCTGTCATAGGCCAGGCATTGTGTGCTGGAGATTCGGAGACAAGGACTCGGGCTCTGGCCAGAAAATGTGCTCAGGTAGTTAGAGAAGCCATGGGAGCAGCCGTCGTGGTGAGGATTGGTAAGGGCTGTGGCATACAACACCATGGTAGCACAGAGAAGGGGCCTTGGAGGTAAAGCAGGAGGGCAAGAGAAGGCGTTCTCCAGGGTTGATGGACTCTCAAGAGGAATAGCTTGTCCAGAGGAAGGGTGAGGTAGATGTGTAAGAATAACAAGAGTGAGGCTTAAACAGGCAAAATGCAGATAATGATTTTAGAAATGCCGGGGAGCCATGAGGGAGCTTTACAGGAGGGGATATGATTTGGTGAGAATCATGCTTTAAAATCACCTTGGTGACCATGTACGGGGTCAGAGGAGGGCAGAAGTGGGAGCAGAGAGAGCTCCTGAGTCATGTGGACAAACTCTGATAGGGCCTGGAGCCAAGGCACTAATGGTGGGAGTCAAGGAAAGGAGGTGAAATCTACCTGGTGTGGTGCCTGTTGGGATGGTAAGGTGAGGAACGGGAGCAGTCTGAGAGTGCTCCCTGGTGTGGGATAGGCGACTAGGTGGGAAGGAGTGCTTTTCCTGAGATGGAGAACGCTGAAGGACAGATCTGCGGTGGGATGGGGTAGGATTACCAGTTAAGTCTGAAACATGCTGAATGTTTGAGATGATGGTGATTACTCAAGTGGAGATACCTGTTGGCGGTTGTTTGCTCCAGGCTGGAGCACAGCAGAGGTACAGGGCTGCCAAGGATATTCGGAGTCATGGCGCACGTGGTTGTTGAAGCCATTTCCTCGTTTGGTGAATGTTAAGGGTGTCGGTCTGGGCCAGCTTCACGGATGTGCCACCTGTGGTTCACACAGACCTCACTCTAGGGAGGGCCCCACATCGGGTTTAATGCTCTGTTGTCACCATTTTAAAATTCTCATTAATTTTTATTTTATTTATTTATTTATTTATTATTTATTTGTTTAAGATGTTATTGATTTGACAGAGAGAGACACAGCGAGAGAGGGAACACAAGCAGGGGGAGTGGGAGAGGGAGAAGCAGGCTTCCCGCCGAGCAGGGAGCCCGATGTGGGGCTCGATCCCAGGACCCTGGGATCATGACCTGAGCCGAAGACAGACGCTTAACGACTGAGCCACCCAGGCGCCCCTCTCATTAATTTTTAAACAAGAGGCCCTGCATTTTTATTTTGCACTGGACCCTGGAAGTTAAGTACCCAGTCCTGCTTATCATAGCTTGGCCCTGTGTACAGTAGCGAGGCTACAGTGTTGAGTAAGACGGCCATGGTTCTTGCCTTAGGAGCTCACAGGCCAGCATGTTAAGTCATCAGTAACAAAATGTGATGTGCTCTGTATTAGAAGTACCAGGCTCAGAGAGCATGTGGGAGAGGCTCTTAAACCTAATCTTGCGGGTTAGGGAGTTAGGAAATGAGATTGCCCAAGAAGAGGAGTAGAGAGACAAAATGGTAGCCCATAGTACCAGAGGAGACATAGAGGAGTCTGAGAAGGGGGCCTCCAGGGACATAGGGAATCCAGGGGAAGGAGTATCCCAGAAGCCAGGGTCAGGAGAGACTGTCAAATGCTGCCAAGCAGATTAAGAATGAGGTCATATCGAGTGGATATAGGCAACAAAGAGGCCATTGGGTGATTCTGAGAGCAGTTGGATAGCGAGAGGGGCAAGAATGAATTTACCTCTGTTTAAAGGATCAGTGGGAGGTAGGGAAGTACAGCCCTTAAATGTGGATTATTATCTTAATCGGAGAGAAGAGAAAACAGGCCCTGAAAGGTGGGTTTTGGATTAGGAGAGTATCAGTTTTTGTTCTGTTTTGTTTGATTGTAAACTGAAAGTATGGTTTTTTGAAAATAATCTTCTTTATTTGAGAGAGAGAGAATGAGAGAGAGAGCGCACGAGTGGGGGGTGAGGGGCAGAGGGAGAAGCAGACTCCCCGCTGAGCAGGGGCTCGATCCCAGGACCCTGGGACCCCGGGCCCATGACCTGAACCAAAGGCAGACGCTTAACGCTTGACCGACTGAACCACCCAGGCGCCCCAACTGAAAGTGTTTTGAGCATAGGTTTGAACTATGGGCCTGTGGGCAGAGCCAGAGGTACAGAGAGGGAATAACTAATATAGGGAAGGCCTGTGTGGGGAGTGATGGACGGACGCACCCTGGTCAGGAAGAGAACAGAACAGGATAGCAGAGGGAGCAGGTACATTTCTAGGTGAAGACCCCTCTTGGCTCGGAAGTCAACCCTACTTTACTCATGCACGTGAGCATCTGCTGCCTCTGTCTTCCTGCCTCGAATTCAAGGGAAAAAACATCTCCTGAGTTCTCTCATTTGTTCTCGTATTCCACAAATAGTTATGGGGCTCCTACTGTGTGACAGGCGAAGCATTTGGAATATAAGAGCAAACAAGGTCACTGACCTCGAATGTAGGTTGTACAAGAGGAGCTTCCACGGCCTGATGGCTCAGTGTTGGCTCCTCCCCACACACCCTCCTCTGTGGTCTCTGACACTGTCTTCTGTCCTCTCTACCTTCCTTTCGACTCATTATCTTTTACTTCCTTCCCAGAGAGCCAACTTTTCTGGTTGGAGCCTAGAAGCTGCAATTCAGGAACCATGTAGAAGAGGGGAAGAAAAAGAGTGAAAACTAGCTGTAAGCAAAGTTTTGAAAGAGAAGGCTGCCTTTGGAATTTATTGCCTAATGACTTTTGATCTTATCCCCCTGGTTCTCAGGGCCCTTCATGCTACTTTGAAATAAGGCTCTAACCTAGAGCTTCCTTTCAAGCTCTCCAAGTCTCTCCATCCTCTATCAAAACTCCCATTCCCTTATGCAGGGAGTTAGCCTTAGCTGATTAATTAGGACGGAGACCATTTGAATGAACACACTGATTTGTGAATGGTGGATATCACCTTTCTTGGGTGGGGGGGGTGCCTTTTACAAGTGACTCTGGATTTATAAGAAGAAACTTTAATTTGTCCTATTTTTGGCATCATCATAAAAAAAATAATACGAATATTACATCTTCTTCCCAGTCAGCTCCCCTAAAATTTTCCATTTTTTTCATAGCTTCCACTGGTTTTCTTTTAGACCCGTTAATTCTCTAAAGCCCCGTGTGGTGTTTGGTGTCATACCCTCCCTTACCTGCCTTCCCACCGGTCTCTATGACAGCAACAACTGGGCACAGGTGGTGAGGGGTTGGGGGAGAGGTTGGGACAGCTGCAGCCATTTATAGGGATTGCTTCTGAGTTGGAGACCACCTCTGTGGGGGGGAGAGTGGGGTGCCTGGGGCCTCTTGGCACAAAGAATGCAGCTGACCCTAGAGTCAGTGACACATCCATCCAGAGCTGAGCTCATGGAAGGCGCTTCCTGTACTTGTGGCTCTTCACAGAGAAGTGTGTGGGATTCCAGGCCTCCTGCTCCCTGGTACCTGGGAATTGTTGGGCTCATATAGAATGCAATTTGCAAGCCACTTCACCGCATTAAACACTAGCCACTCATGACTTCTTAAACTTAAATGAATTAAAATTAAGTAAGATAAAAAATTCACTTTCTCAGCTGCACTAACCATAATTTAGATGCTCATTACCCACATGTGGCTAGTGGCTGCCATATTAGATTACACAGATTAACATATTTCCATTATCATAGAAAGTTCTATTGAAGAGCACTACAGTAAGCCTCAGTTTCCATCGTTCAGTTATTCATCCATTTATTCATTGAGCATCTATTATGTGCCAAAGGATGGTTGGTGCTGGCTGTTAAGGTTTGGTTCCAGCTAGCAGAAAAAGTAAATGTAAGCTAACCAGAATGTAATGTTCTTTTTTTTTTTTTTTTAAGATTTTATTTATTTGAGAGAGAATGAGAGAGAGAGAGAGAGAGAGCACATGAGAGGGGGGAGGGTCAGAGGGAGAAGCAGACTCCCTGCTGAGCAGGGAGCCC